GGCGAAAACAAACCTTGAGTGAGTCACATAACATGTTGTCATAAACTGTCGAATCGAACAGACAGTTATCCAGCGATCGCTTCGCAAAACCACTCGTATCCACACGCGCATGTTTTGGAATTGATCTGGCCACTAGTGGTTGATCTTCAGCCAGTGTCTCGAGCGCTTCCATCAGATACAATGGCTCCAACGAATAGACGGCATCCGCCGAGAATGCCTTCTGCTGACGTCGTAACTGATTTCGGTCTGCTAGATCCTTTTTGCCGGCGCTGACCGCCGCAAGATTCGGAAGCGTGCTCGACTCTGCAGGCACCGAACCTGGTCGTGCCTCACTTTTCGAATCACGACTGTGAAGCTTCGATCGTGAATTCTTGTGGTGACGAATTTTTTCGGCGAAAGTTGATGGTGACGAAGAAACAGATTGCTGTGGATATTGCGAATACTGTGGACAAGTATTATTGTACGGCTCATCAACTGCTGCAAAACAGTCTTGATTTCCAGCTGATTGATGGAGATTTGAATTGAGCTGATGCTGACCTCGACGCGTCGAATCATAGTGGTCTGAATCTATGAAAGTATCGCCCGCAACAAAATCACCACCGTTTTGTGTGGGTTTCGCCGAACCATTCATAGTTGTTGTTGTTGTTGTTGTGCGGTCATTGGCAGTCAAAGCTGAGGCAACTCCCTTCATGTCCTCCGCTGATTTTGTGCCATTTATTCGTTTCTTACGACCGAACATTGACATGAAAGGTGAATGTCTCAGGAGTGATGCTGTTGTAGTGCCGTTTTCAGCTGACATCTTAATTCTTATTTTTCGTAGTTTTCAGGATCAACTTCACTTTCAGCACTGTTGACAAGAAATTCTTACCCGGTTCCAATATCAACTTCGAATGGACCAGCTCACAGAAATTGTTCGAAATCCTTCAGATGGATCAGATTCGAGTAAACGTCACACCGAATAGAAGAAGTAAAATATCAAAAGATTTGTTTTGAATAAACTTCGTAAAAGATGGATTATTGCCGCAAGTTTCGTCGCAAAACCGAAAGAATATCACTTAGCAGGATATCGGAGTAGCAGTTTTCTTCAACAATTATTGAACAATCAAATCAACGAATCAATTCAAATCTTTTGTGGTTGCGTTTGTCTTCTAAAAGATTGTCTTAAAGCTCCCAGCTCGTCTCCTAGTTGTGCTTGTTTTTGGATGGCAAAATCTGAATCAATGCCAGTTTGTGAGTAATAGACGAATGGGACCGTTCAATGTTGACAGCTGACAGCTGACAGCCTGTTGATGTTGAATCAAATGCTTAGTAACAGCGAGAATGAAACTAGTAGTAGACGACGAAGAATGTTGATTTTGATTTCGATTTTGGTCGCCTTTTGAGTGCGCGTATCCGATATCCAAACGAAATCTTTTAACTTCCTGAAATACGCAACATTTATTGATGGATTCCTAATTGATATATTGTGGCAATGGATGGAAGAACGCTCCAGTGGACATTTGGAAAGAACACGCGTATACACAAAATAAAGAAACGTTTCCGAATGGTTTCAGCCGCACTTAAATCCTTTAAGCTAGTTGGTATTTACACGTAAAACTCGCTCCTGATAACCACTTCTGAGAATGAGAGCAAATCTGCGGTTAACATCTAGTGGCTTGACTGCAATCTGCAGTTTAAAACTATGTTTACGATTGGAGTTTAATCTAACTGATTGAAGCCGAAAGGCACCCGAAGATGCTTTAAGAGATTTTACCGCTGCTGGTGTAGATGTTATCAAAACAAAGCGCCGAGAGGAGCGAAATGAGAACGTAAACATCGCACTGATCGTGAATGATTGCAAAACGGCTTTGAGATCCTTTGGTTTGCTATGCCGCCAACCCTCAACCTAAAGACATCATGTGCGTCGGCACTTTTTTTGAGCCGTCTGTCAGCAATATGAAATGGGTACCGTGGAAATGTGAAATGACTGCAAAACATAAAATGTCTAGAGATCAGCTGCTGCGACTACCTGATGGACTACCAACTACTTTATAGCGCTGAACAGGTG